GGATGTTGAGTCACAGTTGGCGCGACCTTGCATTTCCCCCCAACTCAGCCCCGGGCATCGCCATGTCGCATAAGCTATCCGCCATAAGCGCCCGGACTGCTGTGAGGGTCTAGCACTTACCATTACCGCATTCCTGCAAACCGTTCCCTCCCACCAATGATGGTCCCACCGTCCCAGCGAAATCTGTATACATCTTCACCATCACAAGATTCCACCATTTTGCCGCAGACTGCCCTGGAGCATCCTCCTCGAGCCCCCCCCAAGCAGGATGGCGAGCCATGGTCAGGCAGCAGAGCCCGCTCTTGCAGAGCAAGTCCTCTCCAGGATGCGCTTGGGGGTGGCTGCTGCTGCGAAGGGCTCCCTGGGGTTCTCGAAGAGGGGTCATCGAGCCTTCCGCAAGCACGCAGGCAGCGTGTGCCGGAGTGTCAACGAGCAACTGGGTTCCGCAGGCCTGTGCTGGACACAAGCAGCATGGGACGGTAGCTTAGCGGCAGCAATGACTGGCCTGCAGTCGCTGGTGAACGAACAGGATAGGAACTTGCTGGATGGGTACAACCGGGTACTCGCTGCAGTTGAGCGCGCTCACCTGGAGGGGTTAAAGCAGCCGGCAGAGGCCCCCAAGACTCCAAAGCTTCCTGCCTGCTCAAGGCGCAATCCCCGGGTGTCCAAGAAGGCCGCAGGCGGTGCAGATCAGCAGACCGTCCGCTGCTCTGTGAAGATCCCCCAAGGCCGCTTGCTGCAGCTTCAGATGCCCCGCAGCGCCGACGTGAAGACCTTGAAGGGGGCAATCTCTGCCCGCACCGCAATCCCTACCTTGGAGCAGAAGCTGGTGGCAGGAGGGAAGCTGCTTCGCGGCGCCACTCAGCTTGGGGAGGCGTGCGCTGGGGAGGAGCTCGATGTGGTGGTGAACTTCGGCCTCGCTGGAGGGGCAGGTGGAGCAGACGCTGCAGGTTCCGGCGCCTCGGTAAGTCACAGAACTGTGGTCTGATTGGGACGGTGGAAGGGTCGCCCCTTGGTACTGGCCGACCATCTTGATCGTGCCGGCGTGGCACCTGAAGAGGTTGTCGCCTGATGTCGCGGCAGGTGGTCGTTTAGCCAGGATTTTGTAAGAGAGCGCTGGATGCTGCCGAGTTGCAGCACAAAGGTACTCGGCGTTTGCAGCATGCAACTGCAGCATCTAGTACAGTGTAACTTTGCCGCATCGCTCAGCTTGTGAGATTCGCTGCCATACAGACCATGGAGGTCAGCGAGGTTTCCCTGATCACAATCAGGAGAGGCGACACAGAGGAGACCTGCACACTTGAAGACCCTCCATACCTCTGCAAGGATGTCTTGGATTACCTTGACGTCACGGAAGGCTGGGGCAGAGGAAAGCTGACGAAGACAGGGGGGGAGCGCGAGGTCTCCATACACACAAGCCGCCAGGTGCCCGCTGGCAGCTACACCTTCAGGGAAGTACGGGGTGAGGCACATCTGGAGTCTCCTTCGGGCTGGACGATTTCTGAGCATCTTCATTGCATGAGCATGCTCACGCTGTCTCCAGAAGATTGGCTTAAGGGAGGACCCCGCTAGCGACTCATGACACGAGTTGTCTGAGGAACTTTCTCTGCCCTCCTTGAGCCTTAAGTCCTTCAGCACAACAATCGGGCCAAAAGTATTGGACCACCTTTTCTTTCAACCATTACAAGTTGTTTCGACCACTGTGGGACAGGGAGGAGCGGGTTCATCCAACAGGTAGTCCCTGTCACTTGCTTTGCGTACCTGGGAGCCAAGGTAGCATAAGATTGCGTGAAGCAATGGAGCAGCATTCAGTGAAACTCTCACAGATTTCAGACCTGTGCGGTAGCTCTCGTGCATGCCTGTGGTCGGGCAGAGTGCTGGAGCTTTGTGGTTGATGGCAGACGCAGTGATCCACACCAACCCTCCAGTGTGTCGGTGCCTGTTTGGAGCATGTCCCTCTGCTTCCGGATCTGTTCATTGTCAGGCCAGGATGAGATCACATAATTCTGGAGCTGGGAGTTGGGAGTTTGGAAAGTTTGCCTGGCAGGGAGCATTCATCACAGCCTCTGCTCGGGACAAGACATTGCTCAACATGTTCCTAATCAGTCCCAGTGATCTGCAACAGAGCGCACAATGGAGGTATTGTCAGGGTGGATCGAAAGGCTTAGCGTCATCAGTTGAACCTTTTTGCAGGCTTTGTGCCAGTATCATTTCATGGTTTTGGGAGTTGCAAGTTTAATGCTTACTTGCCCATGATGCAGTAGAAACTTGCAACGCCGATGACTGCAACAAGTGGGCAGAAAGAGTCTCTCAGTGTGGTAGCTGCGTCTCCAAAAAGTTAGCGCATGTTTGAGCATGTTATCGCTGTCAATTGTCAAAGCCGACACTGTCAGTTCAAGGAAACTGAGTTGCCTGAGACGTTTGTCTGTGATTCTTGAGCATATAAGAAAGGCCCCGCTCATGTGCTCTGAATTTTTGGGCTTGGACGGCTGCCTCCCACTCGTCGTCAATGGTCTGGCTTGCCCGCAGACCCTGCCAAATAGCGCGGGGTGGGGGAACTTGGATACCAAACATATTTATGCTGACCCCCTCTCTCTATGTCCCAGCTGTTGTGCGAGGGGGAGGGACCGAGGGCGCAGGCCATTCCGGGGACGTGGCAATGCCGGATGTTGACTACAGGAGATGTGAGTGCCTTGCCTGGGGCGTCGGTCTTGGAACATGCAGGGCTGGTATGTGTGGTTGCTGAAACGGCTGCTTGGATGTGTTGGTTCTGAGTTGTATCCTTCTAAGCATCAAGTCGCCCTTTCTTTCATCGATTGGCAATCGTCTCCGATCGCTTTCCCCCCTGCTTTCAAGGACGCCAACTGCTTCCTCATGGGTTGGCAGACTTGCACCTGACAGACTTGCCTCCCCCACATCAGCTGGATCATTGGACTGTATACTGATCCTACTTCTGGTTGGGCTGTTTTAAAAGCGTTCTTATAAGCCTTGGGGAGCTGAGCTCTTGGGACCTGGTGCTGCCCATGGTTCTTGAGGCACCCTTTGCAGGATTTTGGGCCTTTTCAAGAGCCAGTCGCAACTTTACGCATCAGTCGATATATAATAGGGTTGCGCGTTGCAGACATCCATCTCAGTCTGCAGTGAGAGCAGGGACCTTGGTCCTGTGGCGCAACTCTGGACCGGCTTTCAGAACACCCACTTTTGAGCTTTTATAACCGCCTCGCTGTTTCGCACTAGGGGGCTTCCACAATATCGAAGCAGAGAGATGTTGGGCGAGAGCAGCACGGAGAGCGAGATTGGGAACTCTGCCTGATCTGCTCCCTCTTCGCGTGCAGCTGCTGGAACGGGGCAGACCGGTGAAGATGGGGGCCCGTCTGAGGACGTCATGATGCGGGACGTATTGCAGGGAGATCACAGGCGTGAGTTCTGCTGAGCATGTCCTCTGGCTCTGTTGCAGCATGGCTGTGTTTTTCGATTGCCTCTTGCCTGTTGCTGTTGTTGCCTTTGCGGTTCAGCTGGTGAAACACGTCTCACAAGTTTTCTTTTGACTGTGTTTAGAGACACTTCTCGTTTGACTATGGATATCAAGGCGTGGCTGAGATCGTAGGTCTTTTCGTTCATTTGTCCCTAGCAGTTTAGGTCTGCTTGCTTCCTTGTCAAACAGAGTCCTCAGGCCTGTACCTTTCTGTCCACGCAGGGCGGAGCGATGATGACCTCTGGGATGACAGAGTCGACGAAGAGATTCGCAAGGTGCTGGACGGTGCATTTGCTTCCCCAGAGCAGACCGGGCAGCCGAAGCTTGACCTGAGGTCCCCACCCCCCAGCCATCCCTTCGCGAGGAGAAATGTGTCCGCTGTGTACTTCCGCAACTCGCCAAGCCTGCTGCTCACGAACCTCCCTGAACGCAACGAGCCCGGTCTAACGAATGCACAGACTTTGCTGGCGGAGAACAAGCAGCTGCACGCATCGGGGCATGGGCAGGACCAGGTGCAGACGCGCGCGACTGCACTCATCGGGCCTTCAGGAGCAGGGAAGTCCCGCACGGCGCTCGAGGCGTGCTGCCATGAGTATGGCTTTTACCTGAGCTTCTCGACGGAGAAGGAGCCCGGGACGAACATCCTGCGGCAGGCAATGCACCGATTGGAGGAGAAGTTTGCGAACACGTACGAGGAAATTCAGAGCGAT